AATAGCTAAAACGCTGTAATTGAACTTGCCAGATAGTTTTTTTTAGGCTTTGAAAAATATATACTATAATTCATTGAAATTCTTTGCCTAATTTAAATCGATGTCATGTGATCATGACGTAGGAACGAAAGTTTCTTGATCGATACAATTATTCAATTTAGACTCTTTTTTAAATGTTTCTAAAATTTTATTGTTTAAAGTAAGAGTGTATTTATTATGTTAAAATAAAATAAAACTATTTGTTGAGTAGTTATAGTTTGTAGATTTTTTCCGAACAGACATCGTCAATAAACCGTTTTTTCAAAATAGTAAACGTTTTCTAGTAAGTCCTCTTCTCCAATTTTTAATAATAATTTAAAAAATTTTTCAATATTCAAACATTTTGTTTTTTAATAGAAAATTTTGAAGTATTTAAAAAAAGATGGTGACTTAATAGTTTCTGCTATTGTTATGCTTCTGTTACTGTTTATTATTACTAAAAAAATTTGCCTCAACTCACCTACTACAATAATTTATTTTCGAAGTGTTTTTCTGTATTGCACTGGTCTTGTGAAGTTCTATTAACTTTTGCTAAAGCTTTCATTAAATTCATTGATCAAAAATTTACAAGAGCAACTCATTTATTGCTACACTATATATCATCCGCAGCACAATGAAATTTTATTAACATTGTGGAAAGAAAAATTTGGAAAAAATGTATAAGAAATGCATTGTAAGAAAGTTCATAAAAGAGTAAATGAAGAATTTCATAGCATGTTAATAATTATCAACCATGATAGTAATAACTGATAAATAACTTTCTTACTTCTTTTAGAATATTGATAAAGTTTTTTTGAACCAAAGATCAAATGTCAATGTGTACCCATCAATATATTAAAATATTTATGTAAATTAGAAAGAAAAGAATGTGATATAAAACTTATGAATAACAGTATTTATTGTCAAAATATTTTAAGTACTCTGGGAAATTTTTTTTCTTTATCACGTTGCATAATAATTTTGCATTAACATTTATTATAAATCTTTCTCTGTTGCTTAATACAGACCTCAGGTTATTTATTATATCCACGTAATTTTTATTTTAACTTGTTCAATTAATAATTTTAAAAGAGAAATTTTTTTTTCTTGTTTAAAACCTCTTGCCTTTTACCTCAGAGCCTATATGAAGGATTGTAATTCATTAATAAGGGGTTAAAGTGCGAAGCATGCAAGAGGGCGAAGCCCTGCGAGGACATATGTTTGTGGATTAAAAGTTTTTCCTTATCTTACAAGGGGGCGGTGGGGGAAAGTAGGGGCTGTGGAGATCTGCAAGAGATTGTATAGAATTCCCTACGCAAGTAACTAAATATATACATATTTCTGACTTATATATAAAGTAAAGTCGCTAAAACTGTTATATTCGCTAACCGCAAAAACTACTCAATCAATTTTGGTGAAATTTTGCATACCGATTCATGACACTTATTAGGTGGTCTTAGTAGAATCCTTATCTTAAGAAAATTTATAACAAAAGCAATAACTAAGCCTAAAATTTTGCAAAAATACGCTAACTTTGTGCTTTAGTTCAGTTGAATCCACTAGGCAGCAACGAAGTTAAATCTAAACAACCTGAAACGAAATTAAGTAAGTGTGGTTATATTAGGCTTGAGCAACGTACCAAATACACAGTCGTTCACCGACAGTGCATGTAGCATAGAGCTGGAATTCGTGCAGCTGGGTATCCCAGCTACCGACGACACTGTTCTCTAATGGATAAGTGACTTACGTCGAACTCTATCCTGAACCACCATGATTGACGAGTAGCCACCAATACTAAGACATTATGAACGCTAACGTCTCTGGCAAAATAGAAGGAGACGTCTAGCTGGAGCACTCTCTGCCCTAGCAATATGGGTTGTGTGGCCATTTTTCTAACCAACCTGGTGCTGCTGCCAGAGCACATTATATAACAACACCAAGCTAGAAAGAACAACCATAAGTACGGGCAGCCACAACAGCCTTCTCAGTGGTTTGTAGGGACGGCATGTCCACAGGGAAGGTATTCTCTAGGCCCACTTTCCTGACTACCAATGAGCAGTTAGATATCCGGGGAATGACCCGAATACGAGATATTCTTTGGCCAGTGGCGTACTTTCCTCCAGCAGTCCTCCGGTCTCCGTACGCAGAGACTCCAAGGTTTAGAGTCAAGCTACTCGCACAGCCAGCTCTCTATCATCAAGAATGATAATAAATAATAGCTAGAAGTATCACTACTGGTCCTTTTCAGGGCCATCATAAGTATTTACATTCGCTACTTAATCATCAATCTCATCGGTTCTTTTTAGGGCCCCCTAACGTTTAACTACTTTGCCAAGAAATATATGTTTACTACCATTTCCGGCAATGATTCGTCGACGAAAAGACTATTTAAAGCTGACCACTGTTAAACCAAGTCAGTCATTCACTGGCAGACGTCCCGAGCAAAGTTGTTCGTCGCAAGGCTGGGAACCCCGGCGACTGACGATCCTACATTACATTACTTTCTTGACTATGTAAGCATTTAATCAGGAATTTTTGATGCCCGATTTCGAAGGGCTGCGCTGGGCGAACCTAACAGCTATGAAGAAAAAATAAACTTTAGCAAACAGGACAGTCTCCAACGGGCAAACATCACGAACCAATCTCCGTACCTTAGATCACCAAAACGACTGAGCTCTGCACAAAAAAAGGTCCTTTAGACACGAACGTCTCCGGCGTAACACCAGGAGACATTGGTAAAGATCTCAGGAGCACTACAACTAGCTCTAACGCTTCAGACGTTTGAGTTTTCTTCACGATCAGTCTGGTGCTACAACAGCACGCCAGAGAAGATTACCCTGAGGACCCAGGCCATCACGTTTGCTGGAAACTCACCAGTCCTTTTTAGGGCCATCGGACGACAAAAAATATTGCCAACAAATACATTACAATCTAATAAAGTTGACAAAAAACAGCTTTTAGGGCTCACAAAAGTTGTAACCATACCTTCAGTCACAAGAGAGCGAATTAGAAGAAAAACTTGAAATGTTTGAAATGTTTAAAATTATTAGCGTCAAGAAACTGACGCAGAATATTCATCGAGATTGAAACAGCAGCGTTAAGTTTATCAAATAAAGGATCCATTACGTGAGGGATCAGATTTCCACTTTTCTTACATTTTCCATCCATCTTTTAGAAAGAAAGCTAACACCTGACCAGCTCATTGGGTAAAGTCACTGTCGGTTATGAAAAGGTCGGTACAGCGAGTTAGATGGTTTGTTGGAAAAGATCCATCCGTTAAATTTGATAATAGCTGGGGTGTACTTGAGACCATCACTACATATCCTGAAAAAGAACCCATTGGGATGGATGACAGTCATTTAAGGGGAACTTTGCAAGGGGCCCGCACGAAAGACTCGCACACCATGCGGTTAGGGCAAAAAGGTCTCTGATATAGCAAAAGTTAAAAAGAGTTCTAGAAATAAAATACCATACTATACTCTACGTATTTTTTNAAGACCAAGTCTCCCTAATTTCCCTGTTTTCTAACAGATTTTGTTTGATTGTAGATGATGGAGAAAGACATGATATTAAGTACAAACTGCATTTTTATTTTTAGTATTGCACATATCTCACGTTTATAAAAATTCTTTTTAGTAACCTTACCTTTATTAGCTTTGTTTTGTTATAAGACTCCAATTACTTGCACTGCTTATTTTTTTTTAGTTTTTTTAAATTTTTTTTTATTTTTGTATCTCTGTTAATTTCACGTTCTGTATGAAATGTTTCTTAAGTTTTTGTGTATCCTCAGTATTAAAATATGAATCTCTTTTTTTTTTTTTTTTTTCAATGTGTTTTGCACTACAAAGTAGTTCCAATAACTAAAAATGTATGTGATCTTGAATATACCTGTACAACAAAATCAAAAGTATCAATTCTAAAATCTGTCCTCTGGATTAATGTTTACATCAGTCAAGAACTGTTAAAAGGCAATTTTTATTCATATTACATTTCGTATGCACATAAATCACAATTATAACTTTTCAATTTTACAGTTTTCACTTTGTATTCATTCAACATACATCCATGGATTTCAGCCTTTTATACTTTAATATCTTTTTCTACTTATAACTTCTACTTTATATAAATCTCACTTATGTAAATAGTATAAATAACTCAACCTGCAAATAGCCAACGTCTATCGTGCACAGTGATATTAAATCAAATTTTTTGTACTTAAAAATTTAAAGTAATGAAACATTTCAAAATGTATAAGATGACTAGTTATTGCTAAAAACAAATTCTTTTTAACAATAATAGCCAATTTACCTAAATATTCTACAGAGTAGTATAGCTACGCTAACCATGATATAAATATGAACGCTATTAGAAAAACGCTCTTTTCAAACCACTTGAATTATAATAGGTTTATTTTATTACAATCCTGGATAGTCATGTAAAAGATCCACGCGTTTGGCAAGCAATCGGATAGACCTAAATTACGGTCTTTTTTCTCATTCTTTTTCAATGTTGATTCAAAGTGAATTATTAACACTTAACATGAGTGATCTTATACTAAGTAATTAGCCAATGCGACTCCATATTAAATGAATTATTTTAAAAATTTCAAGCATAACATTAAAAAAATTGTTAACCAAATTTTCGTCCACGAAAATAATAAAAATGTGTCAATAAAAGTTAAAAAATATATTACAAACATAAAGTAGGTAATTTAAAAATTATGGAACATTTTTTTGCAGGTAAATTTATTGAACAATTGGAATACTTATAGTTTAGGTGGTTATAATTTATTCAATATGTACACGGTAAAAAATTAAACTTTATACGGATTTTATTGTTTGAAAATGTAATATCATGAGAATTTATTTAAAAAAAAACCTAATTAATGAGAAAAATTGAAATAGCATGATAAGTTGTTCTGCAAAAACAAAGTTTCAAGGTGAAGAGTAAAAAAAAAGTTAATCTTAACAATGTAAATAAATGCATGGGAAGTCCTTTCTTGATTTTTTTACCAAAAGTCAACCTCTTTCAGAGCTGGATGCATTATAGTAGATTATAGACATTTTTGTTTTTTTTTTTGGTCTTGCACATACTAAAAAATTCATTTCTATTCATGTATCATCATTGCTAATTTTATTTTCTGCATTATGATACAAATAGAACTACTTAGTAGCATTGTATAAATGGTTTCATATCTATGTATAATCTTCATAAAATAATTCACACATGCAATTATTTTATTGTAATAAGAATATTAAACCCGTATCGAAAAGAAACTGTAGCTTTCGATGTAAGCAAATCATGACTTTACTATTTTTTAATCCCCAGAGAAAAGTTGTTCTACGGTATTCTTTCTTTAGAAATGAGATCTTTAACAAAATATAAATCAAGCCATTGTTTTTGGGACTGTTTTTCAATGCAGGTTTCAAGTTAAAAAAAAAAAATAATGTTCAAAAAAGTGAATAATGAATTGCTTTTATTACTGTTATTACTTATTCAAATAATCACCAAAAACTTTTAAAATAATTTTGTGGCGCTATGAGGAATCATATATTTACTTGTAGTCAAACATTTAGGCAAATAAAACTTATTTCAATTATTTTGTTCTTCTATTATTTATATGCTCTTTATATTTTGTATCTATTTTTTAACATGAAAAAGTAAAATAAAATAAATGGAATAATATTGTACTCAAAAATACATAGAATTAATTAACATGAATTACCATCAGTTATTATTAAAAGAGTATTAATAAAGAGTAAAATGATCAGATACCATTAGCTTGCAATGCAAGAAAGAACACGCAAAATAAAAAAAAATTTTTTTTTCTACAAATGGATGAATACGAGAAGAAAGTATCTTGCATACAAAGACGAAAGTGAAGTATTATTGCATGTACATGTAAAACATTTTTGTATTTTGTGTTTTGTTTTATGTTACACTATTTATAAGAGGGACAATACTATTTAGATGGAAAAGAAAATTGTTTCAGTTTTAAAAAATATGAAAACATTATAAAATCCTGAAGAAAACGCATAAAATAAACAAAAAAACACATGGAAAATTTTTTTATTTTTACAAAGATTTTATTTGTGATTTGAAATTACGTATCACATGATGTTACCTACATCATGTGATACGTAACATGATGATAGCCTTTTACAGCTAAAAATTAGGCCATATATGTTTTAATAACTCAAGTAAAATAGTTAAAATAATCCTTTTTCTAATGAAATTGGGTAGGTCAAAAGATCCTAAGGGAAACACCAAAGGTTGAACACACTAAGAAGGTAAAAAAGCAAAGACCAAGTCTCCCTAATTTCCCTGTTTTCTAACAGATTTTGTTTGATTGTAGATGATGGAGAAAGACATGATATTAAGTACAAACTGCATTTTTATTTTTAGTATTGCACATATCTCACGTTTATAAAAATTCTTTTTAGTAACCTTACCTAATAATGCACTACCGTAATGAGCCTTCTTAAGGAAAATAAATATTTTTATAAGTTAAAAGTTTGTTTTAGTTGAAATTTGTTTTAGTTTACATTACACATAAATATTTGAAAAAAATTTAAAGTTATATTTTCATCCAAAAATCTTTTATTTGTTTTCTAAAATACATAAACAAATAAACTATTGACTAATATTATGCGATTGTTTAATATATATAAAGCTAATAATACGCATTTATTAACTTGTGTTTATTTACATTTATTTATGCTATGTTGTGGTAAATAATGTCCTTAAAAAATTCTATTTTCGTATTCTGAAAAAATATATCCTTTGAATGACGTTTTTTTATGTGGCATTTCGAAAGTGGGATTACATATAAAAAAAATATTTATTTTTACAGTCAGTTGAATGTAGTTTTGTCAAGATACAAAAAATAAAGATGGAAGTTTTGCTGTCATAGAAAAAAAGTTATGTTTTTCCGGTATTATTTGGGAAATAATACATAATTTTTTGACAGTTTGACGACACAATAACATAATTGGAAAGGTCGTAATAGTACATTATTTAATATTTTATAATACATGACATTGTTACGTACGATAGCATATAGATATGAGTCCGTGCACCCCTTCTGGCCTGGGCTCTGAAAGGCAGAGGAATGGAGAAGAGAAGGCTTATGGAGAAAGAGTAATGCAAGGAAGTTAGTAAAAAGATTAGCCAGAGACACGAAAGCAAGAGGACCAGGCCAACGAGACGTGGGATACTGAAACAATTGTTTTACATTTTGTATCGTGCGAAAAAACTATTTAATTCCAACAAAAAAAAAGTTCTTTTGATCAGTGAATATAATGAAAAAAAGTAATATTCCTCATCGCTAAGTCTGAAAAAAACAGAGTGAAAATTGACAGACACCAAATTCAGTGCGCCAACCGTCGTAACATAAGGAAACTAGAGGAAGCGTAGAAAGAAAAAAAGAAATTATCTGGGAAAAAAGTTTAACACTGCTTCGAGGCCAGATTAACTATAAAAAGGAATAATTATAAATTAAGCTAGTGAACCAATGTACCAGAACGTTAGAGGTAGCTGCCAATCACTTAACTCCAGAAAATATGGAAAAAAAGGACGGTTAACACAATTAATATTAAACACAAGTGGTTCACGAGATTGCAGATCACCGCAACTTTACTGATTATTTTGGCAGGGAGGTAAGTACGAACTGTAGAATATAAAATATGTTATTTTAACTTTTCTATTCCAAGGAAAAGGTAAAGCAATAGGCAATTCTTAAATCGATCTAGAGAAAAGACGCATTATACTATATGAAATTCACAGACTGAGTTGCTATCTATAATATTCTATAAACTACTAATCGTAACAGCGTCTCAAAAGCGTTAAGTTAACTGTTACCACATAAATAATGAATGTTATCAACAAAAATAATAACAATAACACAAACCAAGTAATAATCATAAAATCTTATGTCAATCTTATGCGATTCAAAAAATAAATCCAACAGATATCACAAAAAATTGAGTCAGCTGAAGGGTAGAGAGTGAGTAAAACTAAACTAAAAAAAGACTGTTCTTTTTTTTTTAAACCAAAGCTTTGTATAATATTTTATGCAAGCACTTATTTGACCAAGAACATAATGGAAGAACGACATACAAATGGATCGAAAAGCGCAAATATGCAAGAACAATTCAATCAAAGAAATAGAGAAGAAAATACATAAAATAACCTAAGAGAAAGCAAAATTATACTAATGACTACAAAGCACAATTCAGAGTTGTTGGCTGAATAGTAAAGGACTGACAAAAACCAGAAACTTGTTATGATGAAAATGATGAGAAAATTAAAGTTGAAAATAAAATGAGGGCAATTCTCTCATATTCAAGACGTACATATGATAATGAGGCTGATGCCCCATCCCAGACAGAAACACATTGATCTCTCTCACTTGGAAAATTTACTTCCCCTACCAAGCATGAAAATATTGAGTATGATAAATATGAACCGACCATTCACCTATCAGCCTAACGACAAAGCGCAAGATGAACATTACACAAACCCACACGACATAATAAGTGAAGCAGCTACTCAAGCTGTAAAAAACTATCCGAATTAGAAGAAGAAAACAGTAGTCACGTTCAGAAAACGTAAGACGGAACAATAACTGTATATGATTCAGACATGACATTACCACTTAATAGGTAATGACAAGCAGTGAAAGAGAGTGCTGAAAAAGAAGCCATAAAGCAGTAAGAATACGGGATACAAACTCCTTATAACTACAGAGTAATGTGCTTAAATCCAAAAGTCTTAGGCAAAGCTATAGTAGCTACTTTTAAAATAGAGAGCGATGTAAGTAAGCGCAAACTCATGCTAGCGCAAATCGAGGCTCAAGTATATCTAGTGAGAATAGAGGCAAGGGATACAGATGATTATGTGCGCAGCTATGAGCAGACAGAAGTACGTTACACAATAGAGAAAATAGAACCATAGGGGGTTACCAAAAAATAAAAATTGCGCTTACTGCAAACGCAGAGGGCACGATACATTGTACACTAATGAGAGACGGAGAAAGTGGAAAAATAAAAAAGGGCTGAAATTTCAACAACTGGAATAATTATGATTTCCCTTCCAATACCAATAATCCGAACTACAACAACGATTATAGAAAAACCCCTATAACAATTCGGGTTACAACAGATATAATTATTACAACAGGAATTCTGATTATTGAAGAAATAACAGCAATGGTTACAACAACCGAGACTGTAACTACGATAATTATAGAGATAACTGTAACTATAATAGAAATTATAACAGAAGCTAAAATTATCGCGTCAAAAGACTCCCGAATAAAATAGACAATGCACCAGACGAAAAGAAAAATAGGCATAGTATAGAGCATTTAAACTTACAAGAGGCTTGTTATGCTCCCCAAGCACCAAGCAGGCCCCGAAAATAAAAAAGAGAAATAGAGCGTAAAAATAAAACAGATGCATCTAAAGGACAAAAGAAGTTAACTCAGTCTAATAAAACATACATCAGAAGTAAAAATAGCAAAATATCATAAAATATATGAGAAGGAAAAAAATTAAAGCACTAATGGAAGCAGACCTTAAACAGGCTCCTCAAAAGGCTGAGAGTAAATATGATGGAAAAATATGCGAATTAGATTATACAGCCAGTATGAAAGGCATCAGAATTACATTATTGGAACCAGAATATTTTGAAATCCCCACCAAGTCAAGAAAAATAATGTGCGCACCCGTAAAAGATAAAAGCAGCCACATACGAGTTAGCTGGGTCAACCTGTAAAATATAAAAGAAAAAATACTATTCAATAATTTTATAGGAGAAAATAAACATTCTAGAATGTATGTGAAAATAATAATTATAACAGATGAACAAATTGACGTGCTAATACCAGATATGTGTTTACCAGGTAGATGTTTTCAAATGCGATATCAGACAAAGGGCGGAACCATTAAGCATTGCTGGGAACGATGTTGAATGTTTGAAAGAGGCCCTGATCAGGCTTTTTAATATTAAATGTTCGGATGAAAATAAAGAAGACAATAAAGACATTCACAAAAATCGTTATGAAGTGTAATAATAATAACAATATTAATAACAACGGCACTAATAATTCTGACGACAATGAAAAAACTGACATAGCAGCACGAGTTAATGAAATAATAGAAATTATCAATACATCAGACTGCAATACGGAAGAATTTGAACACATCCAAAATCTTATAGAATACAATCCTTTAATATTTGATCTGGATAGTAAGCCACTACAAACATACTTAAGCATGAAATAACAATTTCAACAGAGAAACCAATCTTTTTAAAAAGAATAAGGTACCTAATAAAACTAAGGAAACAAATGCAAATGGAAAAGTTATTACAGCTAAAAATAATCGAATTCTCTACATCCCCACATACCTCAAATATGTGGATTGCCCCAAAAATCTAGGACCAAACGAAAAGAAATACTGGAGAGTCGCAACAGACTTCCGGCTATTAAAAGAGATAACAGTCGGTACGTGATATCCGTTGCTATTCCAGCATAGAATTTTGGAAAATTTAGCAGCCTTTTCTTAGAAAAGAAGCAAAGTTACTTAGACACATAGTAGGTAACATCAAATCAAAACCAACCCAGAAATATTAAAAGCAATAAAGAATTCACCTAAGCCAACAGATACAAGAAAAATAAAAACATTCTTAGGTTAGCAGGATACTATCGGCGCTTTATGAAAGATTACACAAAAATAGCACAACTACTTTCAAAACTATCAAGACAAACAGTTGAATTAACACAGAAAGAGCCACAAAAAAAAGCAATTACAACATTAAAAGACGCTCTGTGCAGCGAACCAGTACGTACAGATCAGTACCCAAACAGACCTTTATTGTAACAACCGATGCATCAGATAACACAAATCCTTAGCTAAGGGAACACAGAAAAAAGCCGTCCTTGCAAATATGCATCGAGCTGCTTAAAAGGCCGGGAACTATGCTATTTTACATACTATAAAAAGCTTTGGACGATAGTTTTTGGTAAAGAACAATTCCAATCGTATTTTTTTCGATGCAAATTAACTGTTGTTTTGGATCATGAGCCGCTAAAATACTATCATACCTAAAAAAAACTTAATATACAATTAGACAGGCTACAAATTTAATATAATACATCGTCCAGGCTTTTCAAATAAAGTGCCAGACACGCTCTTCTGAAATCCAATACTTGAGAAAGGAGAAGCGAACCTTAAGCGGACTGACCAGGATCTGTATCTATCAGCTAGCAGACGAACAAGAGGATGAAGGATTAGTTAGTAGTAATGACCCGCCATGGCTGTGATAATTCTTTGGATTGAGTTACAGCAATTTTAGTGAAGATGAAACATAACCTCAAAATAAAGGGAAAAATTTTCTATGTAAAACTTTTGAAAGTCAATACGTATGATATGTTTATAATGACTTCTAAAGCAAAAACAGAGAAATTTGCTTAAACCACAAATATAAACTGATTTTTAACTTTTTGTTTTTTAGATGCTCTCACATACTTAAGGAACATATACCATCATACAGGCGTTAACTTGTTACCAAAAAGTCGACGTTCATAAACTGAAGGCATATGCATCAGAAACAGTTGATCTCTATTTTATTATACCCCGGGCACAATATGTCTCCAAGTGTGCACAAAACTTAAGTACATGGTGGGGTTATGATCAAGTATTATAAGTTAACGATTGGCTGCAATTATGAGGAACCTTCGGAGTAAATAACAAAGTATTTCAAATAACTAGATTCAAAAATAGTAGAATGCGTTACAAAAAATCAACGAACAAAGAAATAATTTAGCACCTTCTGGTATTATCAAATCTTTTTATTACATCAAAGCAAATAAAGGGTCATAGACTAATCAAAGACGTGACTTAAGAAGCTAGAACTCTTCTGGAAACGTTAAAATATACGATAATCAGTTATAAAATTAGTTTCATACATTAAAGTTACATTTTAGTTTCATATTAAAGCTTTAGTAATACATAAAAGTTTTAACCACAAAAGAACAAGTACGAAAAGTTTTACTTGATTAAAAAAGAAAAAAAAATGTAATCATTACTCCTTTTTTTTAACCTTCGAAAAAAAAACTTTAAATTCTTGTGCAATGTAGCAGTGACACAATATAACATTATTACCATTACGAGACTCTTGCAATAAATTATAGCACACACAACGTTAGGCTACAAGGAAGCAATGAAATCAGGAAAATTAACACAAACAAAATAAAAAAGTCATGCATATTAAAACCACCTGCACCCAAGAGAATGTCGTAAGAAAGGAAACCAGGAAGAGTGAAAAAAAATAACGTAAAAAGTACATTTTTATTAGTTCTTTTCAGCAGCTCTCAGACGCACCATGTAAAATAGAACAACAACAATTAAGAAGATGATAAATCAGTGAAAATGAAAAAATAATACTAAGTCATTGTAATAAGAATAAATAGAATAAAAATGGTTTGACAAATGAGATGTGCGCATGACCTACTTTCAATATTATTCGCAGCACAAAAAGCATATCCCGAAGGAAACGACGAAACCAAGTTTTTCATTTATTCATACAGACTGAAACTCATTTTATACGTATTATTATCTCTTAGTAGTTACGTGGAAAAACGAAAAGAGTAAAAAGAAAAACGAATACTTCTATGAAAAATTTTTATAGGGCAAAATATCTCTATACCCAACATTCAAAAAATAAGTTATTGGACGAATAAGTTTGCAATATTTTTTAACCCTTAAAAAATATATTGCTAAAAGCGGTGAGAACTCTTATTTAAACTAACAAAACCGTACGTTTGCATATAAAAATGTAAGTATTGGAAAATAGCAATACAATTGTATTTCTATGACAACAAAGAAGGGATTTTTTAAAATATAGATCAAGAATGTAATCAATAAAAAAAAGAGGTTAAGCCACACTATATTTATGAATATCATTACCAACAGCAAAAAAATGGACCAAAGTTCAACTTAAAAATTGTCTACTTCACTATCACAGGACAAAAAGGTATGGTTGCATGATTGGCCATAAGGTTTAGATTAAACAGTTATTAACGGACACTTATAACTACTAAAAGTTCTTGGAGCCATGTTGACTTAATAGTAATGGGATCGTACCCCAATGCCGTGGATGATTTTTTCGATTTTTCGACCAATCCCCTCCCCCGTGTAAACTTAGTGTACATCAGAATTTAACTACCCTCTCCGCAAACTTAAATTGACCTACTTTTTTTCCTGCCTTCCAAACAAAGTCGGATAATTTTCAGCAGACTTTCCTGTGGTACAACTGTACAATTTGGAAAGATCCAGAGTAGTCACGAGCTATAAATTAGAAGAAACTTGCTACTGAAACACCAGAACCCATTATCAGTAAATGTCAGTACCTTAACAGTAGAAAATAAACAAAAAACCATGTGAAAAAATCTTTAACTGCTATAAATGATAATGTAAAAGAAAATCAAGAACACAAATATTCGTAATGCAAGTTTGTGTCTCGTAAAAAAAGTGCTCAACACGTAGGTTTTATCTAATAATTGGAAAAAAAATGTTTACTTTCTTGTCTTTTCTCTTACATTTTTTTTTTTAAATACTTTTTCCAGTAGGGGGACCTAATTGAATTTATTTTAAATTGTTTTTAGAGAAAAAAAAGTAATTTAAATTAAGAATCCACTTAACTATCAACAACAACTTTATACTGAGCATAATAGTATTATCGTACATCAACAACTTTTTATAACTCGTAATCACTCGTTTCAAAATTGGCTCGACTTCAATTTATTTAGCAGCAATTCATGAATGGAAACTCAATCCATTAGATTGTTCTCTAAATAAATATTAAATAATGTACTGAGCTTTTTTGGTATCCAGATATTTTATGTAAATGTTTAAAAACTGTACTATACTGGATTTTTAGTTTTATAGCTATGTTGCGAGATGAAATAAGTTGGTCTATCTTGAATTTTTGAAGAATTTCATTAACTTTTTCAACGATTGGCCGATCAGGACGAGGTTCATCTTTAACATCGAAATTTCCAGACGAAAAGAGTAAACCAATTCTGACACTGTCGTTTACTTAAGCATCCATCACCATAAACACTACACAACTTTTGATGAGCCTGCACTGCATTTTTCCCTTTTCAGAAGAAAAAAAGTAAAATACGATGAAAATGACCATCTAGAATCCCCGTTTTCAAAGCGCAATAACTTTTACGTAAGTACCCTAATAGTGCTACTGTCATATCTAAAACGTTATATGGATTGTTACTTTTTAAATATGCTATACTATGGCTTCATTCAATAAGTATTACTAGCAATATGCGACTTTATCGCGATCTATTAGGAAAAGCCAAAATTACTTTTTCCCTAACCCAATATCAATGTAGTATTTTTTTAATACCGTTTAATACTCATTTCCTTAAAAAATGAGTTTTTTAATTGTTACATTACATTTATTCCACTCTATTTAAAATAACTAACTTTTTTTTAAGCTGGTTGTTAATTTTTTATAAATTATATAAGAAATCTAAGTATTTTGTTGTTTAGATACAGACGTCTCGTTTTTCTTTTATGTGGTTTACGAATATACGAATTTTTCAAATTTTTTTCCTAGAATCAATGTCAGCCTAAATAATTTAATAGGGATAATAGTGGAAAATTCACATCATAAAACATATTTTTGACAACTTGAAAAATAATTCTGGTAATAATTATTAAATACGTAAAAATTATACGTCAGTGAGAGTAATGGATCATACTAACTTTAATATTTCAGTGTCTCCATCAGATTTTGAAACTGTAAAGTTTGGCATAACCGAAGCATCATGATTAGTTATCAAAATATTAGGACTATTCAGCCGCTTAGCTTGGTGAACTAGCATGTAACAACGATTGTTATCTAAGTCGTTGGCTATTACAAACCCTTCTAAAAAATACATATATATGTGTGTGTAGATGTATATTATGTAAACAGTTATAAATAATTAATGAAATAGAAGTAATTACCTGGAATGGGGATTCTTTCATTAGCATGTATCATTTCAATTAATTGAGCAGTTTTGGAGCCAGGTGCCGCACACATATCAAGAACCTGTAATGGAAAAACAATTTATAAAACAGTTTTACATAAAATTTATGATTTGTATAATGTTTGGATTTTATAAGTACTAAAAAATGTTATTGTAATATCAGATTCAGACAAAACGAACAATCATGACATCAATTCGTATGTTTTCTGGGAGGGGAAATAGAATGCACAGCGGACTCACGCATTTCATGCACATACAATCACACCGATTGACCTCCTCAAACCTTATTCCGGCACAATTCAATATTTGAGCTTCATCCAAGTGATTAAGTACCCCTCCTTTCAGTTATTTGAAAGCAAACAGGCCTCCGAAATTCTCTATTATTTTTCATCTTTCTTTTCTCTCTTAGACCCCTTTTTTATTCTGGGGGAGTAGTCCTAAGAGATGGATCCCATGTGGAAATAAGTTTTTACTGTATTCATTTTATGCTTGTTCGATCAAAAAAAAAAAAAAAAAAAAAAAAAAAAAAAATGGAATGGTTGGAGAAAAAAAAATCTAATACAACTTCTTAAGAGTCTGGAATACTTTATGATTATTTTGAGTTCTTCATGTAGTTAGTAAAATAGTGTTACGTCAAAGGTACCAGATTTCGAACGTGACTCCAATGAGGTATTTTTGAAATAAGTTATAATTTTTTACAACCAATACAGTACTTAGCCTTGGCTGAGACAAGAATAGCTAGAAATATTGTTCAAGTACTATTTAAAATAATAAAATCCTGTTAACTTAAAGAAAAGGTAATATACATGATTAAATTGTCTAAAGACGAATAATACTAAGACAATAAGGTTCAAGATGGCGCTCGTCGAATAAGCACGTGTCGTCAGAGCTGACACGTAACAAAAAGAGGATTAACAGTTATGTAGGTCAATGTTAATTGTAAAAACATGAAGAAAAGATACCTTAATTTAAAGCGATACTGCCATTGTGTTTGTGAAAAAAGGAGCATTTTCTATTGATGAAAAAATAGATCAAAAATAACGAAAACACCGACAACCTGCTGGCAGGATTAATCAAAAACAAAAAAAAATGTACAGAGAAAGATTTAAGAAGAGTTTTAAATTAACATTTGCAGGCTACAAATAAAAAAGCGAGGGAAAAGAGCTAAACAGAACAAGAGGCAACAGAAATACAAAAAATCAGAGGCAGGAAGAAAGAAGCGAAAGAAGAAGCGAAGAAGTAAGCGTAAAAAATTTACAAGAAGAAATTCAGAATGTAGGTATTATAATCAAACAACCATTTAATAAGAAAAAGTGAATTAAAGCTCAATGAAAAAGTGCAAGGGAGCCAAATATTATCAGTAAGAAGATAGAAAACAAAAAGGTTTGCATTTGCATGCAAACGATAATAGAGTGTACCAGGTAACAAATGATCAGGAAAGCGGTGTGAGTACGCCTAAACTATAAAAATATAGCCTTCAGCAAGTACGCCTACAGTTAGAACGTAGACAAAGAGGAGAGTAAATTAATAATATACAATACACGATATCTGAAGGTGAATGGGAACAAGAAAACAAAATGAAAAAGAAGGTGAGAGGCATTAGTGCTAAGAGTAAAAGTCCTACTAAAACTGGAGTCTATGAAAAAGAAATAATTTAAAAAGAAAAGACATACTTGAAGACATAAACTTAAGTGCCGAAAATTACGATACCGAAAGAAAAAAGGAGGCAATTAGTTGTCGAAGAAGTATATGGTACAAGTTAAAAAAAAAATTTATTGTCGGTAAAGCTGAGATACATACAAACCAAAGTGGGTAGAGTATAGTACTATTGACAAAAATGCAGGGAAAGACAAAAATTACGAAATAATAAGGGAGGAAAAAAAGGAAGAATTAGTTCAACAAGATTGTGCATGAGATTTAAGTATAAGTGAGTGATGAGGAGACTCGATAGGAATTATGTCCTGGAACGTAGCAGGATTCCCAAATAAGTAAATGCCGTATTTTATAAAGACATTTGATATTTTAGAGTGAGAAATAATTTAAAAAAAAGAGCAAAAGCGAAAAAATATGGTAGGGGTTAGAGAAGATTCAATAAATTAAAATTTAAATAATGGGAATATAGTATAAGCAATTAAAATAGAAACAAAGGTAAAAATATAAGCACCAGCAAAAAATTAAACATAATTACGGTGTACAACTACAAAACAGCTTTTGCTAAGATGTACAGCAAACTAAAAAGCACAATAAAAAAAGGCTCAAAAGAGGAGACAGAATTATAACAGCTGACAATTTATATGCCAGAATAGGAAAAGGGCAAACAGAGAAAGACACTCATAATTGCAAGCTTAGAAGGTTGAAGGATGAAGTGCTAAATAACAAAGTTAAAGTACTACGGTAAGAAGTACTACGGTTTTGCAAAAATCAAAAAAAGTTTATAAAATAAGTATTCAAGGGGTGACCAAAACGGAAAAATAACTTACGTAGGACAAAAATAAGAATCAGTCCTTGACTAAGTACTGGAATTCGAAAAAGAAAGACTACATTGCTATAAAAACTTTGAACATACAAACAAAAAGTGAATCAGACTATCTCCTAGTAACTTCTAAAACGATACGAAATTTTTGAAAGGAACGGGAGGAAGTGGCCGAGAAAGAAGGTAATGAGAAAATACTTTTACAAAAGAAAAGATAAAAAAAGAAATATACAGAAAAAAGAAGAGATGGTTAAGAACATTGGAAAAAAACAATTATTTCGAGATAAAGAAATATATTAGTAAAATGAGACACGTTATCTACTATTATCAGAAAAGTAGCTGAAGAATAAAATGTGCTAAGCACTTGTTTCGCTATCAACTGTTTTTACTTTAAATAATGAAATAACGTTTCGGCCCGTACGGATATTAAAATCGCAAGTCCCTCATTAGGTACAATCTAAAATGCAAAACTTTATGTATAAAATAATTTCAAAAAATTTTTTCCACATCCACTTTATAATTAACAACTTACAATTTTCAAACAAAAAGGAGTCTAATAAGTATCACACGTAATGGTGTAGCAGGAAATACAACATTTAAAACTTTTTCACACAAGTCTAACACAGAATCTGTTCATAAATAAGTTCATCGTTTACGTCTACGCGTAGTGTGATAAAGGTTATTAACTTTGTGGTATTTTAAGGCGTAAGACATGAAAAATGAAAAAACATTGTTAATACAATTTTTGCCACAAGCTTGTAAATTATTTGTACCTGGCATTCTATTAATATTATTAGAGTTGGGATGTATATGTAAGCCGTTTGAATTTATGGTTTTCTGTAACTAATATTATTTCTTTGTCAAAATTAAATGAATGATTGGTTTCTTTGATACGATCTGCTAGTACTAATGTATCTCCAAAATATTAACAATTATCTTTATATTTACTACTTCTAGTTTTCAAATATTTACATAACTTATCTGAGTTACATGCCTCACACTCATTACAATTAATTTAATAAACAAAGATTCACCTAATAGTACCATCGACTCTGTCCATCACACGTTTTATAATCGTCAAGTACTTGTCAATACATTCAAAAACAACTGTCACATTATTGGCTTTCAAAACTTTTCTAATAATAAAAGTACATTTCTTAAAGAACAGTAGAACTGACAGATTATTAATCGAATGAACTACCTGACCTAAAACTCAGGTATTCATTCTGTACGTATTTACTAGCAGCCTCCCGGCTTCACCCGAGATTCCCGGAGTAAAGCACCGTAGTGTGTTGACACGTAATATTGAGCGTTTTGAGTTAATAATTATTCAACTATTCTTGGCACTTTCTGTTTCAAGAATTTATGCAGTTTTAGTTAAATGACAGTTTGTAAAAAAAAAAAAAAAAAAAAAAAAAAAGCTGAAAAGTACCGTTTTTCACTCCATAAAATAGTTGCCCTAAAACGTAGATTTAAATTTTCTCTAGTTATAATATATTAAAAGAGTTATTTGCTAAAGCTATAAAGATTTAAAACTGATAAAAAATAAGAAATAAAAAATTTTGTTTTAATCACAAAACTTTACTACTAGACCAACAAAGTCCTCGAGATTCATCCTTCCCTTTTTTAACGCTACAATGAATGATAATACATAAAAATCTACGTATTTGAATGGCTAATAGATTTAAGTAATTAATGTCAGAGGAGCGGCGTTGGCTCAGTGGTAAGTATGCTTGTTACTGATACAACGCAGTTCTAGGGGTCGTGGGTTCGATTCCGGGTGAATGCAGATTTTTTTTAAAAACTGTATTCATCAGGAAAAGTTCCTATGAAACCCCGGCTGTTTCGGGGCGGGTTTTTCCGTGGAATTTTCCTTCAGAGTAATTCCAGGGTTTTTTCCTTGCCCCACAAGTCTTCGGGCCTGGGTAAATGCGAAACAGTGTTAGGGCTATAGGTAGGGATTAGCGGACCCGATGCCAGGCGTCGGGCAGGGATCGCTGGCCTTACCGGCGAGGAGTGGCCCCTGAAACAACGGGGCTTCTCCGGGGATGCTAATTAGCCTGGATCCGATGCTTCGGCAGAGAGCGCCGGCTTAACCGGCGAGGAGTGGACGTCCTGGAATAATGGAGTCTTCTCCGGGGAAAGGCTACACAGTGGTGAGTGGACCCGATGCACCATCGGTGCAGAGAGTGTCAGCTTAACTGGCAAGGTGTTCCACCGGAGATACTCACACTGTGCCCATGGATTCAGGTAGGAGGCGAGGAAAAAGGTTTAGAGATGGGTGTGGCAATACACCCCCACACATAGGTGGTGAGTGGGTGGCCCCCGCTACTAGGCCAAGTAGGCTGTTGTGGTAACCCGGTATAAAAAAAAAAAAAAAAAAAAAAAAAAAAGTAATTAATGTCAGGGTTTTAACGGAATTCTGATCAGTTACTTAATGCATTATTTATTCATCGATTTTTACACCGATGCTCCAATCTAGATGAATGTTCTGCATCAGTTTTTTGACACCTATAATTGTATCAAATTTAAAGCACTTAAAGTATTCCTTGTAATTCGCCTTCTGCAACTCTCGGAATTGTTAAAAAA